CATAAATGTTGGTGGACATTTAAACGAACAATCAGAGGAAGAAGTCCTAAAAGCACCCCCAATCTCAATGTTGAAGAAAGCCAGCACATCAGTGGAGCAGTCAAAGATTTTCAGCCTGAGGTACTGAGTAGATGATCATTTCTGTATCCCCCTGAAGTCCCAACCATTACAGATGCCAATCTTCAGCTAATTCAAATCATTCTATGTGATATCAATAAAATGCCAAAACACCGGACATAGCAAAGATTTGAGTTCTGACAACATCCCAGCTGCAGCGCTGAAGACATATGCTCCAAAACTAATCATGCCCTTGGTTAAGTTGTTCAGTCCAATTGCAACACAGGCAATTGCACAAAAAAATTGCCCAGGTCCATACCTTCGGAAGGATGCATTGGCCTTGGAGGGAACACAAAAAGGCTTACAAGAATGATACCTGGACTTCAGTGATTAAGTTATGAGGAGGGATTGTACAAATCAGGTCAGTTTTCTCTAGAATTTCAAAGATTAAGGGGTGATCTGACTGATGTCTTCAAGATATTAACAGGAAATTACATGGTAGATAAAGATAAACTATTTGTGCTGATTAGGAATTTGAGAATGAGGGAGCATCGTCTGAGAATTAAGTCTAGACCATTCAGGAGAGATGTTATGAAGCACTTCTACATAAAGCATGGTAGATATTTAGAACTCTCTTCCACAAATGACAGTAGATCCAGGATCAGCTCTGAGATAGATATATTTTTGTTAAACAAAGGTATTAAGGTATATGGCCACAGATCAGCCATTGAATGGTGGAACAGACTCAAGGGACTGAATAGCCTATTCCTGTTCCTAAGTTTCCTATGTTCCATGTTCCTAGCTAGTTAATAAGAATCAGGGAAAAACTAATCTGAATAAATAGCATACTAGTAGTCCACTCTTGATATATTGATAATGACATCAAGTAGCACTTATGACAAAATATTTGCTCACAGATGTTCAATATGGGTTCCTGTAGGACCACTTATCACTAGACATTATTACAGCCCTTGCTTCAAATGATCTCAAAGGAATGCAACTTCAAAGTGACTGCTCTTGACATCAAAATAGCATTTGAATGTGTGTAGCATCAACGAACCCATGGAAAAATCAAAATCAATCAAAATCAGGAGAAGACTCCCTATTGGTCACAGCCACAACTAGCAGAATGGAAGATGTTTGTGTTTGTTGGATGCTGATCAACTCACCACCAGGACATCAGTGGAGGAATTTTTCAGGTCAATGTCCTTGGTGCAACCACCATCTGCTGCTTCATCAATGATCATCCCTCTATCATAAGTCAGAATTGGGGATGTTCACTAATGATTCATGATGTTCAGTTGCATTCCAAGTTTCTCTGATACTGAAGCAGTCTGTGTCCATATGAGTGAGATCTGGAGAACATTCAGTCTTGAGGTGATAAGTGGCAAGTAACATTCATGACACACAAGTGCCAGACAACGACTATTCCATCAAGACAGAATTTAACTAACTCTCCTTTGTTTCCAACAGCATTACCATCACCATCAATATTGAAGGGTTTACCATTGACCAGAAACTGAACTCAATTAGCTATATACATACTGTTGTTATAAGAACAGGTAAGAGCAGAGAATTCTTTTGTGATTTGGTTTGATTTGATTTATTGTCACGTGTACCTAAGTAGAGTGAAATGCTTTGTTTGTGAACAGTGTAGACAGATCATAGTAAGCAAGGACATGGTGATCATACGGTGAAGAAAACACTTGGACAGAGTGATGCATACAGGTTACACCGCACAGGACATGCGCTAGACAAGATCAACATTAACAAGATCAGCAATTTTTGAAGTTTGAAAGTCCATTCATCAGTTTAATAAGGGCAGGAAAGAAACTGTTCCTGAACTTGATGGTGCATGTGTTCAAGCTTCTGTATTTTCTGACTGACAGAAGAGACTGTAGGAAAACACTACTGGGGTGGGATGGGTCTTTGGTAATGTTGGCAGCCTTTCTGTGGCAACAAGATGCATATTTGGAGTCCATGGATAAACAGTTGGCTTCCATGATCATCTGGGCTGTGCACACAACCTTCTGTAGTTTCTTACTGTCCTGGGCAGAGCAGTTGCTGTACCAGGCCATTCCACACCTGGACAGTATGCTTTCAATGGTGCATTTATAGAAGTTAGTGGGGGACCTTATGGACATGCCAAATTTCCTGAGCCACCTGAGGAAGAAGAGATGTTGTTGTGCCTTCTTGACTATCGCATCTACGTGGGAAGTCCAGGACAGGTTGTTGGTTATCGTCACTCCGAGGAATTTGACGCTGTCAATTCTCTCAACCTCTGCTCTGTTGATGTAGATGGGGTTGTGTCCTCCTCCTTTCTTTCTGAAGTCAATGATCCATTCTTTAGTTTTGCTGACTTTGAGAGAGAGGTTGTTATCATTGCACCATGACACAAACCCTTCTATCTCCTTTCTGTATTATGACTCATCGTTGTTTGATATCTGTCCTACCACTGTGGTGCCATCAGCAAACTTGTAGATGGTGTTTGTTTGGAATTTGACTACACAGTTGTGGGTGTACAGGGAGTACAGTAGTGGACTGAGAATGCATCCCTGGGGGGCTGCAGTGTTGAGTGGAGGACGTGTAGTACCTTCAATGATTGTGGTCTGTGGGTCAGAAAGCTGAGGATCCAGTTGCAGAGGGCGGAACCGAGACCTAAGTCTCAGAGTTTTGAGATTAGTCTGAACGGAATGATGGCGTTGAAGGCAGAGCTGTAGTCGATGAGCTTGTTGTCCAGATGTTTCAGGGACATGTGCAGGGTTAGGGAAATGGTGTCCGCTATGGACCTGTTATGTCAGTAGGCAAATTTCAGGGGATTGAGGCAGGCTGGGAGATGAGAGTTGATGTGGGCCATGACCAGCTTCTTGAAGCACTTCATGATTATGGAGGTAAGAGCCATTGGGCGGTAGTCATTAAGGCACATTGCATGTGCTTTCTTAGGTACTGGGATGATGGTGGTGTTCTTGAAGCAGGTGGGGACTTTGGCTTGTAGGACAGAGTGGTTGAAGATGTCAGTGAACACCTCCACCAGCTGGTCTGCACAGGATCTAAGTGCACGGCTGGGGTCTCTTTCCTGACCTGTTGCTTTCCTTGAGTTGACTCCCAGGAAAACTGATCTGACGTCTGCAGCGGTGACTGAGGGAACAATTGTGTCCGGGGCTGTTGGGGCAGGTGACACCACACCCGCTGGCATTCTGCTCGAACCGAGAATAGAAAACATTGAGCGTGTCAGGGAGGGATGTGTCTTTGTCCGCTATCTTGCTCTGTTTCATTATGTATCCGGTTATGCTGTTTTACCTCCTGTCTTCCCAGATCCTGTCCAACATTTACAAGGTATGTGTGATGAGTGAGATTGAATGCTCTCCATGTGCTTGGATGAGTCCAGCTTCAACAACGCTCCAGCAGCCCAACACAAGACAAAACAGGCTAACACTCCAACCACCACCTTAAACAGTCATTCCCTTCACCACTGCGTACCGTCTACAAGATTGACTGCAGCAACTTGTCAAGGTTCCTTCAACAGCACCTTTCAGTCCCATAAACCCTACCACTAGAAAAACAAGGGCAACAAACTCATGGGAGTACTAGCACTTGCAATGCCGCTCCAAAACACACATTATCCTGACTCGGAAATCTGTGACTGCTTCTTCATTACTGTTAAGCCAAAATTCAACGAAGCATCCTGCTACCCGCTCAAGGGGGCAATTAGGAATACTGACCTAGCCGGTGAAGTTTATGTCTCAGGAACAAATAAAAAAAACCTTCATAATAGTTCTCTAAACATTACAATATTTTGTCTGCTTACAGAATTTTGTGATGATGTTATAACAGCTTTTATGTACTGTTTATGGAGATTTGGCTTAACTGGTCCTAAAGACCCATGTGCCAGAGATCCTTGTGCTTAAAAGTGTTTTGTGCTTAGACTTGGATTGTAAAATAATTTGGAACTCCACTGTTGACTCAGGTCAGCCTTACATGGCCAAGAAAAGATTCTCCAACTAGTTTGAAAAAGTCAGTGTCCAAGTCACTAGTAAGGTACCTAAAGTTATCTGCCTGAGTCAGGTATGTCACAACTTTCTCATTGAACGGTCTCACATTTGCCACTGAGATAGCCAATACACTTGGTGAAAGTGCACTTATGTCATTGCACTGATTGTACATTACATACCAGTGAAAACCTGAGTATAGCATATCTGACAAGGTTACCTGCTCTCAAACTCAACACCATAAGTTCTTGCTACTGATGATGGCCTTGTGTAGAAAAGTCTGCTTTACACCCAAGCCCCTCCTGAAATGTTAGGTATCATTTGTGGCTTTGCCTTGAATCACAATCTCACAGCAAATTGACAGGTAGGCTTTACATCTCTGATCTTGTACAAGGTGCACTCAGATGTGGGAAAACTATCCAATGTCCAATTACTGCAGTTTATATGGCTCTATTCAATACTTAGTCCAATATCAAGAGGTGACTTTTCTGTGAGACCTGTTAGAGGATAACATTTCATTATCAGGAGGGTACACATGTTTAATATAATTAAAATTTAAGTACAACAAACTGGACTTATTTCTTAGGGATTCCAATTTGCTTTTAGCTTTTTGAAACACTTCCCTCACTCATTTGACACAATATAATGCAGACCATGAATTTGTAAATTACTCTCATTATAAATGCTTCACAAAGTTAGAGAGGGAAATTCAATGCATGGAGCCCATGTGACTAATGTTCAAAAACGGTGGGTCCAAATAATATCCATTCAATAAAAATAAGCTCCACAAATGTTTTCATCATCCATTCGTTTGTAACACATTTGAATGTTTAGAGGCTGGAATACTTGTAATGTGATTAAATGGTTTTACTGTGGCTGGAGTTTAGAGTAATGGAAATAGTTTAACTGATCCACTGTATTTACAGTATCGGCTAATATGAACAGTTGTATTACCTATTTCACACAGCTCCCCTTGGAATGATCCTGGGCAGTTGCAAGTGAAGGATCCTCTTTTCTTCCCAGCTCGACACGTTGCTCCATTTTTACATGGATTGGGACTGCATGGTGTGGTTGCTTGAAAGACACAATTGTCAAAATGACTATTTGAGAAGAAAAGAATTACAAATGCTGGAAATTCTGAAATCAAAAATGGGTAACGATGCTAAAACACTGCAGATTCACCAACATCCGTCAAGAGAAATATTAACATTCGAATCATAGACCATTGTCCGAACTGGAAGGGTAAGTAAATGTATGAACAGAATTGAATATAGTGAAATGGGAAGAGAGAGAGTAACTGATGTCTGTTGTTTAACCACTGTTGCCCCAAAACATTTAATCTACTTAAAGGTCTCCAATAAAAACAGAAAGTGCTGAAGAAACACAGGAGCTTTGGCAACACCACGTTCAAAAGAACAGTCATATTCAGCATCCACAGTATTTTGCTCTTACTTAAAGATCTGCAAACAGGAATCAACAATGCTAGAAATGAAAATGTGTTTGATGACAGACAATGCTCAGCTCAATTAGATTGTAGAAATTTATGATAAAATTGAATGTGGCTCAGTCATACAAATAAAGATATTGGAAGGAACAAAGGTAGTAAAATCCATTCTAGGATAAATGATAATGACATTAGATATGGTGACAGAGACAGGAAAATAGGCACAATGACTAACCTTAACTCTAGCCTGAAACATTCACTGTTTCTCTATCCACAGATGCTGCCAGACCTGCTGAATATCGACAGCTTTTTAGTTTTATTAAAGGAAAATAGAGGATACTGGTCGGGTCTTATCATGCTCAAGTCATTGTTCAGATCAGAAGGAAGGAGAATGCCTGGGCTGGAAACTGAAGCTCAGATCTTCCAATAGGAAGATAGTTCTTGCTGAAGCGTAGCCTTGAGACCATGCAAACATTCCAATTGGACTGTCTTCACAAGACTTGCTCAGAATTAGGTAGTTATCCAGCATACAGAACCTTCAAAAGAAGACCCCAACTCTGAGTTAAAGATGAAGATGGGGCTCTGACTTACTTCCCTTAACATGGCTATCTATAGAACTGACACTTGACTACCTCCATTGACATCCCCATCTAAATACCACAACTGAAGCCCTACAGACACAGAGCAGCACTACAGACAGCTGACCCCAACTCCCTGATCTGATCCTCTCTCCTGACTATCTGCCTCTCCCCCTCCAACACTACACAGATATCTGACCCACTACCCAACTACCCCTGAACTGCACTGACCAAACCGCAGAATCTGTACCCTCCCTCCCAACAGGCCCAACACAACACCCAGATCCTTCACTGGATAGAAAACATAACCCTACACTATGTATCACTTTCAACGACTCTCCATGGGTATTCAAACCACCATCCCTCCAATCTGATTCCCAACTGCTTCCCTGACTCCCTCCCCAATCCCAACATGGACCAGAATCCCATGCCAAATAACCCAAGCCCCATCTTGACTCACACTCAGCCTCCACATCCCCGCCTCCCTGATCCTCATGACCCTCATGCTGACCCCGAATGGGCACCTTGGCATGCCCTAAGCTCTCACCTACTTAGCTGCCATCCTACCCCACAACACAGAAATACTAGTCAACCATGGGACTTGTGTTATTGAAAAGTAAAAAGAAATTAGTATTAGTAAAGGGGTAGTACTTGGAAAATTAGCTAGATTAAGTGCTGATAAAATTTCCTGAACGAGATGAGCCACATCCTAGAGTGTTAATGGAAGTAGCAATAGAGATAATAGATTCATTGGTGGCTGGCTTTTGTATTTCTATAGATTCTGGAAAGGTTCCTGCTGATGGGAAGGTGGCAAATGTACACACCACTTTTTAAGAAGGAAGAAAGAGAGAGAGTGGAGTACTACAGACCTATTCTGTGTCAGTAGTAGGGAAAATGTTAGAATCTATTATAAAGGATTTGATCACTGGATATTAAGAAAAGACTAGTAAAAGTGAATGGAGTCAACATGTATTTATGAATGGGAAATCATGTTTGACAAACTCGTTGGATTTTTTTTTGAGCAAATTACTTGCAGTACCGATAAAAGAGAACCAATGGATGTGATGTTTTGGATTTTCAGAAGGCTTTTGGTATTGTCCCGTATAAGAAATTGATGGTAAATAAAATTACAGCACTTGGGATTTGAGGGTAATATATTAGTATGGATTGAAAGTTGGTTAACAGACAGAAAGTAGAGAGTAGGAATAAATGGATCATTCTCAGGATAGCAGGCTGTTACTCGTGGGTTGCCGCAAGGCTCAGGGCTCAGTCCTCAATTATTCGCAAATCATGTAAGTGATTTGGATGTGGGGACAAATTTGTACTATTTTCAAATTTGCTAATGACTCCAAAATGGATGGGAGTGTAAGTGACGAGGAGAATGCAAGAAGACTTCAAGAGTACTTAGACAGGTTGAGTGAATGGGCTGGAACATGGCAGATGCAATACAAAGTGGATAACAGTGAAGATATTACCTTTGGTAGGAAACATTGAAAGGTGGAATATGAGTGAGAGGTTAGGAAGTGCAGCTGTCCGAAAGGATTTGAGAGTCCTTGTCCACGAATTTCTAAAAGCTAGCATGCAGATGTAGCTAAGGAAGATAAATGGTATGTTCGCATTTATTTCAGGTGGAATTAAATCAAAAGTAAAGATGTCTTTCTGCAATTGCATAGAACCTTGGTGAGACCTCATCTGAGAATTGTGTGTAGTTTGGGTTCCTTATCTAAGGAAGAATATATTTGCAATACAGGAAAATCAGGGATGTTCCCTACATTCATTCATGTGATGATGGGATTGCCCTATGAGGAAAGCTGCAGGAAATCAGGCCTGTATTACTTAGATTTTAAAGGATGAGAGATGAGCTTATTGTAACCTGCAAAATCCTTACTGGGTGAATATAGACACAATGTCTTCCTTGGCTGGTGACTCTAGAATCAGGGGATAGAATCTCAGGATAAGGAGCAGGCCATTTAAGATGAAAATGAGGAGGAATTTTGTTTCTCAGAGGGTGATGCGTCTTTGGAATTCTCTACCCCAGTGGACGGTGGAAGCTCAATCATTGAGCAAGTTCAAGATAGAAATGGATAGGTTTCTGGATACTAATGACATTAAGAAGAAAATGCAGGAAATTGCCACTGAGGAGATGATGATCCATGATCTGGAATGGTGGGGAAGGCTTCATGGCCTACTCCTGTTCTTCTGTAAATATGTAACTATGATCTTTTAAACATTTTAGCAACTTGCTCTGTGATCTCTAAGGAATTGTTAGGACACCCAATATATCGCCGCTCATCTGTACTTTTCAATTTATGCCAATTGTAGAATACTGCCTTTTTATTTAGTCGTCCTACATTGTGTCACTTCACACTCCTGCACATTGAACACCATCTGCCATGCTTGGGTCATTTCACCATTCTATGTCTGAAAGCCTATAACTATCCTTATCAATATCAAATAAGTTGCCAAGTTTTGTATTGTCTTCAATTCTTAGACTACTGATCCAAGCACCCGAATCTAGGTTACGTATAAAAATGGAAAAGAGTAATTGATTTCAAACTGAATCTTGGGAAACACCACTGCAAAACACCTCCCAGGCTGAAAAACATCTATCTATCACCACCTTCCTGTCACTGAGCTAATTTTTCACCCAAAACAGCATTTTCTTCTTAAGATTTGCACTTTATTAATAACCCTGCTGTATGGAACTTTGTCAAGTATCTTCCTTACATCTTAACATATATTTATCATACTAGTTTGATCACTTTTTGCTACAACTCAGAACGTAACTCAATTAAGTTGGTTAGACATTTAACAAACGGACGATGGCTCCCCTTGATTAACTCATCTCTTTCCAATTGAACATTAGTTTTGTTCCTGATGATGGTTTCTAATAACTTCTGCACCACTGATGTTGGACATACTTTATGGCTTGTAGCTTTCTGGTTTATTCCTCTCCCCCCACTTGAATAGTGGTTGATTTGTCACTTTTCCTATTGAATGGAAAATGGATGGTAGTGGATTGGTCTCCCATTTTACCCACTATTCAATTTTACTTTCCTATTCACTAATATAAAACAAACTTCCGAACTGCTCCTGCTCATTGTTTACCACAAAAACTCACTGCCACGTAGCCATATTTTATCATGAATGAGGAATATCACATCCAGAATTTTTTGAATCATTCCTAAGTATGTAACAAAACATTAAATGAATCAGAATAATAAACAATATTGAGTCTTACCTCTTTTACATAATGGTGGTACATATGGATGTCTACATTTGCATTTATAATATGGTGCATTGGGCAGAATAATACAGTCTCCATTTTTGCATGGGTTTTTCTTACATGGATCATTCACTGTAACAAAAATATAAGATCCCAGTATTATGCATTCATCTTTCATATTAAATTAATGTACAAAAGATTACATTTTATGCTAGCTTTCATTAGTGTAATCTTAATAGTAAGTTATTACAAACAGTACAGTAAATACTTAATGAATATTCAAATTCTATACATTAAAGAATATAAATAAATTTAAGAAATTCTTTTGATTTAATTTTAGAAAATTTGATTTTTAAAAGAATGCATGAACAATTGATCATTATATTTGTTAACATTGATGCAACTAGCAGACAATAGGCTGTATTTTGATGTGAGGGGTGAAGTAACACTTCATTCACTGATGATCTTAAAAAATATTGCCTATGAAAATCTAATGCTCTCTCTTTTCCCATTTCGGTTTTAAATCTATTGTGAGGTTAAGGGGTGTCTTGGTTTTCAACAATGGCGGTGTCAGCAAGCAAGGAAGCAACCAATCAAGGGGGGCAGCATGGTGGCTAAGTGGTTAGTACTCTTTCTCACAACACTAAGTACCCAGGTTCAATTCCAGCCTTGGGTGACTGTCTGTTTGGAGTTTGCACAATCTCCCCGTGTCTGTGTGGATTTCCTCTGGGTCCTCCAGTCTCCTCCCATGCTTCAAAGATGTGCAGGTTAGGTGGATTGGCCATGCTAAATTGCCCATAGTATCCAGGGATGTGCCTAGGTGGGTTAGCCATGGGAAATACAGGGATGGGGGGTGGAGTGGGTCTGCATAGGATGTGCTTTGCAGACTTAGTGTGGACTTGATGGGCCAAATAGTATGTTTTCACACTGTAGGGACTTTATGATACTGAAGTAATCAGACTCAAACAACAAGAAAGTCACAATGACTTGAGATACTTTTTAACTTAAATCTTTGGTGATATGGAATGAATGGTTATCACTGGGTTAAAGATAGAAAAAATTAAATGAAGCATCAAAAATGATTATTTTCTCACTGTAGAGAAATATAAAATCAATTTTAGAGCCTCTTTGAAGATCTGCAATTGAGCGCATTTAGCAGAATTTCACAATGGTGTTGATTTGATCAGGGGTCTGTGATTCATTTTGATCTGTTTTGTGGCAGGCAGATTCCAACATGATGTTTTTAAACAAATGTAGAACTTTCTACAACCTTTACTTGTTCTGAATGGAAACGGATTCTATAAAAGGCTTGATATGATTATTCATTTAAAGGTCGTGCATCTCAACACAAATATGACCTTTTATCCTGTGTGTGATGCCACAATATAAGTTGGGTTCTTACAGACTGATTGAGGAGAAGGGAAAATCAAGGATAGACTTTAGGTTAAACTTAAAAGTAACATTATTTGTCAACTTTGCATACTAGCTATTACTGTACTTGATAAACATATACTAGATTCTGACTTATAGTTCATTAGGTAACAACTAATCTATCTTTTCAAGTATTCAAGTCCATATATTCTTTGTGTGTCTTTCAGAGAGTTACATATTCCAGTGTATCTTTCAGTGAGCCTCTTCCAGTATTCTAACCCTGCCCACACTGTAGAATTTAAGCTCAGTGATGTGCAGCTCCATGATATCACCACAAGTTAGCTCCAAGGTCCTAAACCCTTACATACCACTTATGATCTGCTTTTGGCGGGTCATGCAGTATGCCGTGATTCCAGCTAATATTCTCACTGGGCACATCAGATCTCAGACTGAAATCTGACCCAATAAATCATATTTTGTTTGTTTGATTTTAATGGGATCGTTATCACTGAAACACAAATATACAATGCTACAGATTTGATTTTAAAAAAACAACAAATTTATTATGGAAATCAAAATGGAAGTAAACCAAAATATTTATATAAAGCACAAATTTAAATATTTCAAAATACATGATAAGATTCAATCCAAAAAACACTTCTTTATAATACTCACACTGGAGAGAATTCCCTTCTTTATGGCACAGAGGATTTAACTAAGCTGCAGCTGCAGCTTCATTCCCCGATGAAAGAATCTGATTGCCTCTTCCTTGAGATTTCATACAACTGAGCGTAGACTTTCTCAGCTTCAAATAATCCCTTCAGGGTTTAACTACAGACTTCTAGTCTCGAACTTTAAAATTAATCTCATTAGACTGTGATAACCTGTTTCTTAACAATTATAACCAGTCTTCCCATTCTCAGGAGCCACAAATCCAAGATCAATCAAAGTCACTTCTGCAAATTGACAAATTGAGCTTTTTCAGACTTTGGGCTTTTTCCTAACCAATAAAACAAAAATCAATCTCTGACTTTCTAAAGTGAAAGTCTTATGCTCAACTGTTTACTTAGTTTGCTTGTAATAATTTTCCCAAAGTAAACATATTCCCATTAGCCTTCAAGATGTATCTCTCTCCCTCAGATTATTTTTGAAAAGAAATCGCCATGCCTACAGAAATACTTACAAGTTAATCATTAACTATGTACCCTCCAGGCACATAGACCAAAACCGGCATGCCACTAGGTCAAATCCAAATTCTAAAACAAATGATATTAAAATATAGACAAATTATTTACCTTACCTTATGAGTCATGAAGATGTCTGAAACTTTAATACACTACAATTCAGTTTTAGGTCATACAGGTTTATTCCTACAAGCTGCTGATTTTCATACCTCAAGCATATTTCTGGTTAAAGTTATCGTCGGGAAGGAGGCATTGAAAAGATACAGAAATCAATCCAAGTGCTGTTCATTAATTAAATGCAACTTGGGGATTCATAGAATCCCTACAGTATGGAAACAGGCCAATTGGCCCAACAAGTCCACACTGCCTCTCCAAAGAGCATCCCACCCAGACTCACCTCCCTACTCTACCCCTGTAACCCTAGATTTCCCATGGCTAATCCACCTAACTTATGCACCCATGTAAACTACAGGCAATTTAGCAAGGTCAATCCACCTAACCTGCACATCTTTAGACTGGGGGAGGAAACTGGGGCACCCTGAGGAAACTCATGCAGACATGGGGAGTATTTGCAAATTTCACACAGAGAGTTGCCTGAGGGTGGAATTGAACCCAGATTCCTGGTGCTGTAAAGCAGTAGTGCTAACCACTGAGCCACCGTGCCACCCCAAAATAATAAGATCATAGAATCCCTACAGTGTGGAAACCAGCCAATTGGCCCAACATGTCCACAATGCCCCTCTGAAATGCATCCCATCCAGACCCATCCCCATCCCCATCCCCATCCCCATCCCCCTACCCTTTCCCTGTAACCCTGCACTTCCCATGGTTAATTTTCCTAACTTACACACCCCTGGATACGATGAGCAATTTACCTAACCTGCACATCTTTGGACTGTGGGAGGAAACTGGAGCACCTGGCAGAAACCCACACAGACATGGGGAGAATGTGCAAACTCCACACAGACAGTTGGTTGAGGGTGGAATTGAACCTGGGTCCCTGGTGCTGTGAAGCAGCAGTGCTGACTACTGAGCCACTACTACTGTAAGATAATGTAAGGTAGTATTGTAAGATAGTAACACTATTACCTTTGCGACAGTTCTTGCCATTAAATGGGCGAGGACATCGGCAGACATAACCTGAAGATGTTGTTTCACATGTGCCCCCATTACGGCAAGGATTCGACTGACAAAGATCTGGAAGAATGTTACTTTTGTTACTATTTCATAAGAAGCATAATCTTTAAGCATTTTTTCTTAGCTGTTCATGGATTTAAAATTCCGTAAGTCAAAGCAATCATTTCAAAGGACATATATTGGTCAGTACCTCTCAACTAGAACAACGTTGTTGAAGAAAAAAAGACTTTGATCAATTTTGGATCCAGCAACACTATTCTGTACTTTGCGAATATTAATAGGTAGCAAATATTTCATATTCTGCATTATTCACTTATTTAAAAAAAAGCCACCTAACTCATTTTACTTTGCCTGATAAATCAAAAACACAATTTCTTCAAGTAATGATTCTGGGTAATCCAAGATGGAAGTTGGGAAACGAATATGGCTGTAGTAGCTGCTCCTGTTTTGAGGTATTTTCAGTGTTGGAGCTGATTTCCTCAAAGTTTTGGAGTAGTAATTCCTGTTTTATAAGCTGTTGCATTGTTTTGGAATTGTTGGATCTTTGGAAATCAGAATTAATCTCTATGGGGAAAATATTAATGTAATCATAGCTGGAGATTGCAGGAAACCCTGATGAAATAGCCCAAGTACCGTTTTTATTTATGCCTATTATCCAGAGGTCCCACTGACCTTCTCATAGAGTCATTACAGTATAAATCGAGGCCATTTTGCCAATTGAGACCATGTTTGTTTCTGTTGGAATTACGGCAATAGATTAGGAGAAATCCCATAGAAATTACAGAAATTTTTAAAAATAAAGTTCTAGATGAAGTAAAAACTGATTTCTCCTATGACACTGTTTCCAATCTCTTAGGCTCAGGTCTGCAGACGAGTCAAGCAAAACGTTCAATGTCCTGAATCAAATCAGGCATAGTAATACCATGTCTATTTCCGTTTGGTGACGAGGATTCTCTGGAAACTAGTACACTTGTCACTGTTTAAAATTAGAGGCTGTACCAGAACCCTTGCACACCAAAGTCTGTTTAAAGGAAGGATTAGTTAAGGATCTTATCATATGTCCCCTATCAGTAATCACTTGCAAGCACAACCTTAATAGCCCTCTTTTAGTTTAGTAGGGTTCTATCTCTGCTTCTGCTATATCAGCTCTCTATCACTTGGGAAATAATTATCTTGTTTCACCAGTTAGCAGCAGCGGGAATAACTGGTGCACAATGCTAATGTAAAGCCCAAATTCAAAGGCGGCATCCTCTTTGTTAAGTTCTGACTGACATGGAGTCGATGGACACTTCTTGCTGTGGGACAATTCAGGGTCAGGGGGGTACAGTACTGGTACCAGATTAATGATTACAGAATAACACAGTCACCATCATATGCTCACATATTCTTGACTTAGTTTCCTTTTCCTATAAATTTATTTCAGGGAGAAAAATTAAGGGGATGAGGAGAATGAGAGTTAGAACCTTCTTTCATTATTGATGATGAAGACAAGGAAGTTGATATTGAGGTGGGGAGAAAGGTACCATCACACCCACCCATATGTCCCTGGACTTGTCATATGTTACATCGCCATAGCTCTCTCAGTTTTATCCCTCAACTTTTCATTTCCATCAACCATCTTAAATGCATTCGCTCAACAAAATGTGTGTATTGGTGTTTGTGTATGGAGATGGAGATTTGGATGGGGGATGAAGATAGGTAAAGTTAGTGAGGTTGGAGCAGAAAAAGTGATTGGAAGTGGTTTGAGGATATGCCACTTTCCCAGTGGAAGCTGAGGTAGCTGCCCATGGTGTTGGGGAGTTGTGAAACCTAGAACCCAACTAAAAGCAAAGTTATTTGACAGAAGTAACATGTGGAAATTTCTTTAGAATTTACAATGGACTCCCATTAAGAAGCAAACATGGTGCAGTCAGTGCCACCTTGTCATAAACACACATTGTGGCATGAGAGGCAATAGACTGTACCAAATAGACCCTGCCAAGTGGGATATGAATTGTTTTCTCTCAGGGCTTTCATGATTGAATTGCTAACCTTGGATCCTGCTTATGAATTATTTTTATTCATTCACGGGATGAGGGCGTCATTGGCGAGGCAGCATTTATTGCCCATCCCTAATTGTCCAGAGGGCAGCTAAGCATCAACCATATTGCTGTGGGTCTGGAGTCACATGTAGGCCAAACTTGGTAAGGATGGTAGTTTCCTTCCCTAAAGGACATTAGTAAACCAGATGGGTTTTTCTGACAATGAACAGTGGATTCATGGCCATCATTAGATTCTTAATTCCAGATATTTATTGAATTCAAATTCCACCATCTGCCATGGCAGGTTTCGAACACGGGTCCCCAGGACATTATCTGGGTCTCTGGATTAACAATCCAGCGATAATACCACTAGGGCATCGCCTCCCCTAATATAATGAAGTAATAAGTTCAAATCCCACATCAGATATTTGAGTACACTATGTACACAATTCACCACCACACTGAGAAAGGTCACTCTCTTGGACAAGGGGCTATCTCAAGATTGTGCCTTTTCTCTCAGATACATGTGATAGATCCCAAGATATGACTTGAGGGCATGGAAGTTCCCTTTGTTATGCTGAACAACATTTATCCTCCAATCCAGATCACAATCAGAAAATCTGATCATTTACCTCATTGCTGTTTTTGGGACCTTGTTGTGGGTGAATTGGTTGCTATGTTGTGTTATACATTTCAAAAGTTATCCATCCATTGTGAAGGACTTTGGAATGTCCTTGAATCCATATAAGACATTATATTGATCCAAGTTCTTTCTTCCTTTAATAACCAGTACTTGACAAACTCTTCTTATGATCAGTGACTAACAGCCCAATAGATCAGTGTCTGGATGAACTCTGGCTGAGCTCATGGTCTCTCAGGCTAGCAGTAAATGCCAGGCTTCCCTGGTCCTGAACCACAAGCTTCCAAGACGTAGCCAATTCCTGTTCTTCTCACATCAAGCTCCCACAAAAGAAGTGCCATCAGGCATTATTGGCACAGCAGCCACCCATCTCCTGTAACATTGACCCTGAGCTTGCAGCTATCCAGAGGTACCATAACATGTGAAAGAAAGGCACTGTATTAAAGCTATGGAGAAAAATGTACATCCATTTTATATTAATTTATTATTTGCATGTTCATATAACAGCAGAATTATCTGGTGCTGTAATGTTCCAAGATGGGTAACAAATTTGATTGAAGGTTTTGTAGATGGGCTAAGGTGACAGTGGCAAAGGTATCTTCAGTAATCAGTTTTGCTTGGATGCTCCTTGTAAAAGTTAACGAGGAGCTCTTGAGTGATATTTATTGTGATCCTATCCTTCATATACTTCTGCCTTGAAAGAAGCAAGAGCTGCTTATGCAAAAATATCCAAGCTCAGCCTTTTATTCATGTCAAAGATTTCCAGGTTAAATCCCCTTTAGTTACTGATACGTCCCTTGGTGCCATTCTGATAGAAACATGTTGTCATATTTTGCAGTGTTCAACATCACTGTTTCTTCAACTTTTCGTGCAATAATTAACCATTCAAGACAGGGTTATATTTTGTTCCTACCAAGGCATTCTTTGGCATAACTTCCTTCCTTGGGTATTCAGTGAGGACAGAGGTCTGCAGGACAAATGAATCTTGAAAATCTCTAGCTGCTTGAAATACCTCTATACTGCCACATGCAATTTGTCAATTCATGCAGTTCACATACTGACTGTTGAGGAGGCTGGATACAGAGGAATGTGGGTTTCATTTGATGTCATAGAGCACTGTGGATGTCATTTATTACAATTTGGTGCTTGGAAAAGTAATAATGTTAAAACTGGTGGTCCTATTGAGCTCTGATACCAAATTGGTTGAGCACCACAATTGTCCTTCAAAGGAGTCTAGTTACCTGACAAAGACTGTGACTGCCCCAGATCCATATATGTACAGTGCTTTGACATTATTGATAGACTTAGAACCGGATGGACAGATAACTGTGACAGCAGACCCTCAGGAAGAATATGGTAGAATTTCCTATATCCTCTTACATTTCTCTTCAACAAAATCCTCAGGGAATTTGTTGCAGAGGGGTGTGGTGGAGGTGATGGGAGGCAATATATAATGATGCTCATCCTCCTCAAATGCCAGCTCTTTCTCCTTTCCTGTGGCACCTCTTGTTCCTCTGCCATGGCAATGGCAAAGGTGTGCTGAATGGAAATGCCACGCCTGGTCTCCAGATCCCCGAAATATAGATAGATTTAGTTCAAGCGGCCCA